ATTTCACAAAAAAGAATTTTCAATGGCTGCAATATGGGTTTTGCAGCCATAGTCTTTGTAAACTTCATAGTGGAATTTGCCATGAGCAACTAAGTAGCTCCTGATTGTTAAAGTTACCCACCTGGGATATTTCTCTTCAGAGTGGCACGAAGAAACTTTCTGGGAAGTTCGCTCTCTGGTTTGTGGAATTCTGGTGTTGGAATTGGTTGCTTTTGTCACTCTGCCAGGCTTAAAGTAAACCCTCCTAAAAGCAGAGAGGAGGAATATCTCTCACTCCTGGCTGAGAGAGATGCATGGCTGAGAGTCTGATCCATTACAGAAAGAGAGACTCCTGGCTGAGAGATGACAGCAGTGGAACCAAGAGGCAGTAGACAGTGGCAGACTTATCTAGCCCACAGAGGCAGAGGCCAAATCAAAAGGCCCAGTGTCACAGAGGTGGGTCTAAAGGCATGACAGAGTCTGTCATGACCGAGGAAATGAATCCTGGGCACATTCCTCAATTTGAGTTGTAGCCTGTTGCTTCTCTAATAAACCCCATAATCTGTGAGTAGTGTCGTGAGTTCTGTGTAGCCACTGCAACAAATTGTCGTGCCCAGCAGAGAGGTGGTGGGTGCTGCGGGAGGATCAGTTGGTGACAAGGTTAGTAAGAGGGTTGAAAGGTGGTGGAATACCTGGCCTCATAAGAACAGGCCTTGGGCTGCTGATGGTGATTCTGTCTTCCTTTTGTGGAGTTAGAGGAGGTCAGAAGATGCCACCTCCCTGTCCTTTTTGTGGTGGCCAATAAACTTAGGAAAAGATGTTCAACCCCATTAATTAGAAAGTGCAAATTAAAAGCACAATGAACTTGCCACTGCATATCTAGCAGAACGGCTAACATTAAAGATTGACGATGTAAGATTTTGGTGGGATTTGGATCAGTAACAATTTTCATAAATAACCGGAATCAATTCAAATACCACTTAGGAAAGCAGTTTTTGGAATTATTTTTCAAAAATCATGTGTATCTTTATATCTATGTAAAATACACAACATTCCTACTCCTAGGTATGAACCCAATTAATATGTGACAAGGTACTTGAGCACAAAGAAACAAGTACAAGCATGTTTGTAGAAGCATTATTTCAAATAGGCACGAAGTGAAGGAGGCAAGGAATTAATATTTAAACAAACAAATATAATTTCAGATAGTAATGGAAGCTAATAAAAATATGTATGAGTCAACAATAATACAGCCTTTAGTATCGGTTCTACCTCAGTATTAAACAAAAGTCCTCACAACTCGACCAATAAGCAACATTATAATAGATGGAGAAAATACTGAAGTTGTCAAGGATTTCATTTTGCTTGGATCCAAAATCAACACTCATGAAAGCAGCAGTCATGAAATCGAACAGTATATTGCATTGGGCAAATTAATCTACTGCAAGATATCTCTTTAAAGTGTTAGATCAAAGATGTCACTTTGAAAACTAAGATGCTCCTGACTCTAGCCCCATTGTATTTTCAGTTGCCTCATAGGCATGTGAAAGTTGGACGATTAATATGGAAGACCACAGAAGAGTTGATTTAATTGTGGTGTTGGCAAAGAATATTGAAAATACCATGGACTGCCAGAAGACTTTCTGCCCGTGGACTCCTCAGGGGAAGCATCGTTAAAGCCTTTTTATTTTTTTCTGCCCACTGCCATCATGTCTAAGTCAGAGTCTCCTAAAGAACCCGAACAGCTGCGAAAACTCTTCATTGGAGGGTTGAGCTTTGAAACAACAGATGAGAGTCTGAGAAGCCATTTTGAGCAATGGGGAATGCTCACAGACTATGTGGTATGAGAGAGCCAAACACCAATTGTTCCAGAGGCTTTGGATTTGTCACTTACTCTACGGTAGAGGAGGTGGATGCAGCCATGAATGCAAGAGCACACAAGGTAGATGGAAGAGTTGTGGAACCAAAGAGAGCTGTCTCTTGGGAAGACTCTCAAAGACCAGGTGCCCACTTAACTGTGAAAAAAATCTTTGTTGGTGGCATTAAAGAAGACACTGAAGAACATCACATCACCTAAGAGATTATTTTGAACCATACTGGAAAATTGAAGTGATTGAAATCATGACTGACAGAAGCAGTGGCAAGAAGAGGGGCTTTGCTTTTGTAACTTTTGATGACCACGACTCAGTAGATAAAATTGTCATTCAAAAATACCATACTATGAATGGCCATAACTGTGAAGTAAGGAAAGCCCTCTCAAAGCAAGAGATGGCCAGTTCCTCATCTAGCCAAAGAGGTCAAAGTGGTTCTGGAAACTTCGGTGTTGGCCATGGAGGTGGTTTTGGTGGGAATGATAACTTTGGTCATGGAGGAAACTTCAGTGGGCGTGGTGGCTTTGGTGGCAGCCGTGGTGGTGGTGGATATGGAGGCAGTGGGGATGGTTATAATGGATTTGGTAATGATGGAAGCAATTTTGGAGGTGGCGGAAGCTACAATGATTTTGGCAGTTACAACAATTCAGTCTTCAAATTTTGGACCCATGAAGGGAGGAAACTTTGGAGGCAGAAGCTCTTGCCCTTATGGTGGTGGAGGTCAATACTTTGCCAAACCACAAAACCAAGGTGGCTATGGTGGTTCAAGCAGCAGCAGTAGCTATGGCAGTGGCAGAAGGTTTTAACAATTGCCAGGAAACAAAGCTTAGCAGGAGAGGAGAGGCAGAGAAGTGACAGGGAGGCTACAGATTACAACAGATTTGTGAACTCAGCCAAGCACAGTGTTGACAGGGCCTAGCTGCTACAAAGAAGACATGTTTTACACAAATACTCATGTGTATGGGCAAAAAAAAACTCGAGGACTGTGTTTATGACTAATTGTATATCAGGTTAGTTTAGTTTCTGTTTTGTGGAAAGTGTAAAGCATTCCAACCAAGGGTTTTAATGTAGATTTTTTTTCACCCATGCTATTGATTGCTTAAATGTAATAGTCTGATCATGAAGCTGAATAAATGTCTTTTTAAAAGAAAAAAGAAAAAGAAAATACCATGGACTGCCAGAAGAGCAAACAAATTTGTCTTTGAAGAAGTATAGCTGAAAGGCTCCTTTGGATCAAGATTGGCCAGGCTTCCTCTCTTATACTTTGGTCATGTTGTCAAAAGGGATCAATCCCTAGAGAGTGGACATTGTGCTTGTAAAGTAAAGCGTTAGCAGAAAAGGGCAAGACCTTCAATGCGATAGATTGACACAAAGGATGGAACGATGGTCTCAAGCATGGCAACAGTGTGAGGATGGTACAGGATAAGGCAGCGTTCTGTTGTACTTGGGCTCCCTATAGACCGACTGACGGCACATAACAGCAACAACAACTAATAATAAATAATAGTGTAATAATAATTCCGAGTACTCTTGATAGTAATCCTTTGAAGCACGAGGTAAGTGGCGAGAGGCAGGAGCCATTTCAGATGGGATATTTAAGGAAGGATTCTCAAGGAGTATATGACACTGTTGGCAACACCTCCTTCGTTTTTCCTGTACTCAGCTGATTCTCTTTCCTCTCTAACCATTTCCTTTGGTGGTCTTTCTTGCTTGACACAAAGAGCTCTGGTTGCATAGTGGTTAAAGCCTTGGGCTGCTACCCAAGAGAATGGCGATTCAATCCCACTAGCTGCTCCAGGAAGAAAGATGAGGCAGTTTGCTTCCATAAACAGTTATAGCCTTATAAATCCTATGGGGCATTCTCATCTGTCCTAAAGGGTCATTATGAGTCAGAGTTGACTTGATGGTCATTTTGTTTTGCTTGACCCTTGCCTTTCTCCTTGCCTTTTTCTTTTTTAATTCCAAAAGTTGTCAAATGTGTATTTTCAAAAAATAGGATAACACATTGAACATACATGTATCAATCACCCAGACACTTAGAATTAAACTATCATGTATTATCAGCTATTGATGTTCATTACACTTTGAGAGGTCATAAAATGTGTGCTTTAAAATAGGTGAAATACAGGAGAATATTGATTGATTGGATGCTTGGAAGTAAGGAAGAAGAAAGATAACCAAGGATGATCCATAGGCTTTTCTACTCTGGGAAATTACATGCATGGTAGTGCCATTTGCTGAGATCCAAAACCAAACCCAACCCACTGCCATCCAGTCAATTCTGACTCATCACAACCCCCACTGGGTTTCCAACACAGTAAATCTTTTTGGAAATAGATTGCCCTGTCTTCCTTCCTTGGAGAGGCTGGTGGATTTGAACCGCTAACCTTCTGGTTGGCAGTCAAATGCCTTAGGCACTGTGCTACCAGAGCTCCTTATTTACTGAGATAGGCTACTTTAAAAGACAAGATTTGAGGGTAGGAAGATGAGCTTACACCTTGAATTCAAGATGGATGTGTATTAGATAAGTGGATTAGTTTGGATCTGTGACTCTTATACTTATGTCTTGATATATAGAGAGGAATTTGGAAGTCATCACATATCAATTCCAAATGAAGTCATGAAAGTGAGCAGAGTGGCACAGAGAGAGTCCTGAAACTCTAGCATTTGAGAAAGTTGTTGCAAGCATTTACAAACACGTGAACACTTTGCCTTCTCTCCCATGTTGAAGTACTGTGCCTTTAAGGAACCCTGGTCATGCAGTGGTTAAGCACTTGACTACTAACTAAATGGTCATTGGTTGATCCAGTCTGCTTCCGTAAAGGTTTACAGCCTTGGAAACCCACCCCATGGGGCAGTTACACTGCGTACTGTAGAGTTGCTATGAGTCGGTAGCAGTGAGATTGTTCCTTTAACACTCTTTCCATATGTCTTTCTGAATTTGTCCCTTAATGTAGTAAGATTATCCATAAGCATATCCATTGTCCATACTTTTATCTTTATATGCATATCTGTCTTCCCTATCTTTATCTTTGTATCATTAGGACTGAGCAGTATTGAGCACACAGTAGCTCGATATTAGTTCCCTGAATAATAAATGGATCTATTTCTGAAACAGAAATTTCTCTGCTACCTATTTTCCCCAGCTCTGTTTTTATTTTCTTACTTTGAAGATCATTAGATTTTTTAATTTGTTGTTGTAGGGAAAATGAGTAAAAGTGTATGGAGAGCTGCAACAAACTTTTAAGCTCATCCAGTCCCATGGTTTTCAGATTTGTGCCACAGAATCTTAGATGTTCCACAGGCCCCTTTCCTACCAGTGACTCTTCCTGCATAGGCTGTTAAAGGGAGTGGGAGGAAATAAAAGGGTATGAAGTATATGCTCTTTTGACAGCTTTAAATGTTGTACTTCATATATTCACTGTGAGAAAGGAGTTCCAAGGTTATATATAGTTTGGGAGTCTAACATCCAATCCCCTTAAGTGGTAGCATGCCCAAAGGGATTGACTTTCCCACATTACAATAGTCTAAGTAACAGCCAGAACAAAGACTTAGATGGTCTAAGTAGTGCTATTTAGAAAATTCTGAAAAATAAAAAGTTCCTTAGGAGATTATGAACTAAAATTCTTGTTACATATTCACACAATTCTGTACAGGAATGTTCATAGCAGCTTTATTTGCAGTATCCCAAAACTGTAAGTGATAGCTCTGGTAGCGTAGTGCCTAAGGCACTTGACTACTAACCAGAAGGCTGGTGGTTCAAACCCACCAGCCACTCCTCGGAAGGAAGGTTGGGCAATCTACTTCTGTAATGATAGTGCCTTGGAAACCCAAGGAGGGGTCGCTATGAGTCAGGTCTGACTCGATGGAAAATAACAACAGCAACAAAACTGTAAGTAATTCAGATATCATTCATCGAGTAAATGGATAACAAGCTATGGTGCAGCCATACCATGGAATACTGCTGTGCAAGAAAAAGGGCTGAAGTAGTGACATTCACAGCTTGTGTGGATCTCAAGGGAATGAATTATGCTGAGTGAAAAAAGCAAATCCCCAGATGGTTACATATTATATGATCCCAATATTACAGAACACATTTGCATTGAAAAAAATGGAGAAAAATTAGGGATTGCCAGGTACTAAGACCTCTTTAAAGTGTTAGAAAGCCAAAATGTCACTTTAAGGACTAAGGTTTGACTGACCCAAGCCATGGTGTCTTCAATTGCCATGTATGTTTGATAAAGCTGGACAATGGATAAATAAGACTGAAGAAAAAATTGATGCTTTGAATTACGGTCTTGGTGAAGAATATTGAATATACCATGGACTGCCTGAAGAACAGACAAATCTGTCTTCGAGGAAGTACAGTTAGAATGCTCCTCAGGAGGATCAGCTTGGGTGGTACTTTGGACATGTTACCAGGAAGGTGCAGCCCAGTGCCTGGAGAAGGACATCATGCTTGGTAGAGGGTCATTGAAAAGGACGAAGATGCTCAAACATCAATGGATTGACACAGTGGCTACAACAACGGCCTCAAACATAGCCACGATTGTGAGGAAGGCACATTTTGTTGTGTTGTGTTGTGTTGAACATAGAGTCGCTATGAGTGGGACAACAGGGAAGAGGGGAGGCTCGGGGGTGAATGTGGTTATAAAGGGCCACCATGAGTGGTCCTCGTAGTGAACTGTTCAGTATATGGTTTTATAAGCTGTTTATTATCAGGATAAACCGGGTAAAGGGCATAGGTGATCTCTATGTGAATCTACAATTATCACAAAATAAAAGATTTGATTTTAAAAATAAGAACATAGGTACTTCCAAAAACTAAAATTCTATTACATGGATTTATTTTTCAGGGCCAAACTTGGGATGCCACAGTTTTTGAGTCCTGAAGCCCAGAGCCTTTTAAGAATGCTTTTCAAACGAAATCCTGCTAACAGATTAGGTAATAATTTTAATTACTTTGTTTCTTGAGTGAGTGTTATTTTGGGGCCAGACAATGGATGGTTGTGTTTTGTGGTGGGACTATAAAATACTAAAATGAAATTGCCATTTAGTAACTACTTTAACTTTTCACAGGCGCAGGACCAGATGGAGTCGAAGAAATTAAAAGACATTCATTTTTCTCAACAATAGACTGGAATGTAAGTATAGTCTGAAAACTTGCTCAAAATCTTTTTTTATAGTTAACACATGTACAAGTCTCTCTGTTTGTTTCCAGAAATTGTACAGAAGAGAAATCCACCCACCTTTTAAACCTGCAACTGGCAGGCCTGAAGATACATTCTATTTCGATCCTGAATTTACTGCAAAAACTCCCAAAGGTAAAGAGAAAGCATGAAAATTCTAATAAAAGACAACACATATATTTGTGTTTGGTCAGAAAATCTTTTCCAGTCAAATTACTTATGCTATCGTTGCCAATTTAAAATTATTAAACACATCCTATCTCTGCCACAATAATTGTATTATTAGCCAATCCTTTTCACTATTTTATAGCAGTTAAGATGCTTGTTAAGTCTTTTAGTACATTATGTTGTTCCTTATCTTGTTGGTTTTCATAACCTTATTATTGCAATATCAAGGTAATTTTCTGCATTTTGGCCTGTGGCATTTCAGATTCCATGTTTTCACTTTTACATATAAATTTAATAGGCATTTTTTAAACTTTGATACTATTTGAGTGGAAAAATATTTGATTGTTTGTGCATTTATTTACCTATAGCTATTTTTACATGAAATACTCTTCAGTATAAACCAAACAAACAAAAAACAAATCCACTGCCATCAAGTCAATACCTGATTCATAGTGTCCCCCATTGGGTTTCCAAGGCTATAAAACTTTACGCAAGTAGATTGCCTCATCTTTCTCTCACTGGGCAGCTGGTGGTGTTGAACCAGCAACCTTGTGGTTAGCAGCCAAATAAATGCCACTCTTTAAAACTCTTAACTACAAGTGGTATTCTGGAAGTATTTGTCAAGTTCAAATCCCAGCGTTAACTTCAACTTTACATAAAATGTAGTAACTTTAAAATGATTGATTAACTTTTAGAAAAATAATCTTTGAAATGGTCACCTGTATTTCATTAATTGAGGGGTGTGTGTGTGTGTGTGCGTTTGTGTGTGTGTGCTGCATGCACGTGTTTACTGTATTGTACATTCTAATGTTCTCTCATTTATGTGTCCCAAACCCCAGATTTCCCATTTACAAGCAAATAAATGGAAAGTGTACTTGCATAAACTTGAATGATACTTGATTTCATTATTCAAACTTTCTATAAAGCTTCCCAGCCAAAATCCTCATAATCTGTTTGAAGCTTTGCTAGGTATTTATTATTCTTTTAAGACAATCTTAGCAATGTAGGCCAATATGTGAACAAAACTTTCTCAAATATGTGGCCAGTCATATACCTCGTGTTGAAGTTATAAGGTAATGTTTTGCTTTGCCTCCTCAAAACAATTTTCCACGATAGAGGAAAAATCTGAAAATAGAGAAGTTGTATGTTACATTCTGCCCTCAGAGTTCCCTTGTCAAAAGTCTTCAATGTAATACTGTACATTATTTAAAATCCACTGAACAGTGTATATATTGAGACTATCGAGCTGATTTTTTTTGAAGGAAGTTTTTGTTGACTTGCTGTTTCAGTGGATTTGCCTATTTGATTTTTTGGCAATCTACTTCCGTAGTGATACTATCTCAGAAACCCATGGAGGGGTCGCTATGAGTCAGATCCAACTCGAAGTCAGTGGGTTAGCCTTTACAGTATGCTTTTGAATATTAGTATGTCTAGGTGTTTGTGTAGTTATGAGTAACACGTTTAGAATGCTTTTAGTGTTTCTGTTGTTGTTGTTGTTGTTATGTGCCATCGAGTCAGCCCCGACTCATAGCGACCCCTCCTTGGGTTTCCGAGGCAGTATCACTACGGAAGTAGGATTTCCCAACCTTCCTTCCGAGGAGTGGCTGGTGGGTTTGAACCGCCAGCCTTCTGGTTAGCAGTCAAGTGATTTAGCCACTATGCTACCAGAGCTCCTAGTGTTTCTGTAGTGAATATTATATTGTAAAAGTATTTTTACATTTTTGTTAAACCTGTTAGAGTCCCAATAATTTGCACAATACACATCATATCCAGAAATATATTTTAAGGATTACCCATCAGAATTGTCCTTGAAATTACTATTCTTAAATTTAGTAATTTTATCTTATACTTTAAAATTTCCAATTCCAACATTGTATTGAGATCATTGGACAACATGCATTTCTACTTAATTTCTATAGATCAGCCTTGTATCTCCCTCCTAACTAGAAGCCATAGCATTAAATAGTTATCATTTGGAGCTGTATTGATTACATTAATTAAAAATGCAATTTCTTCATCACACTAGCCATTTTTCAACAGCTCAGTAGCTACATGTGGCTAGTGACTACCATATTAGACAGCACAAGACAAAGAATATTCCATCACTACAGAAAGTCTTACTGGACAGCACTAAGTGAATATAACAGTAACCCAGGAATACATCAATTTGGTAATTGAATGAATCAAATTAATTCATTTTTTTCCCCTAGGCTCTGAGGGACTAGGGTGTTAAAACTTGCAATGGTATTAAGAGAACGGTGTCCCAACAGCAAGAGATAATATAGTGGGTGCTTGAGGAGTAGAATTCCAGAATAAGTGAGAAAGGTCATAAGGCCACCGATATTTTCTTTAATTACCTTTCAAAGGGAATCTCCTTAGTAACTCCTCATTCTCATCAGATTCACCTGGCATTCCACCTAGTGCTAATGCACACCAGCTGTTTCGGGGATTTAGTTTCGTTGCAATCACTTCAGATGACGAAAGCCAAGCTATGCAGACAGTTGGTGTACATTCAATTGTTCAGGTGAGTGGATATCTAAATAATTTAAAACTTGCAGTAATGTGTGATAATAGTTTATTATGTGAATAGATTTTATCTGCTGACTTTCTACATGAACAACTTAAAATACATTTTATATCTGAGAATGGAAGTAAGCTTAGTCTTAGAAATTCTTTTCATTTGTCATTGGAAAGCTGCTATGATACAAAACCCTGGATACCTATCTGACCTGAAATTGAAATTCTCAGAGTTGAGTTAGACCTCACAATGTTGTCTTGCCCCTCTCCCGTGTTCAAACTCTTTACCAGGCCTAGTTCTTCTCATCTTCTGCCTTAGTCCAGTCAGCTATGATGGGTTGCAGTTTCCTGGTTCCCTAATGCCTTGAAACAGGGGTTAGCAGGCTTTCTCCTAAATGGGCCAGTTAGGAGGCTTTGTGGGTCATATGATGTTTGTTGCAGCTACTCAGTGCAAGTACTGAACTCTCTAGCATTATTGTACAAAAGTAGACACGGACAAGAAATACAATTTGGTCTGGCTGTGTGCCAATAATAGCTTTGTTTATAAAACAGGCATGGAGCCAGAGTTCACCCTCAAGACATAGTTTTCAAAGCCCTTCCTTATAAAAATAAGAGAAATGAAAATGAAGTCAAATGGTAGTGATTTTTCCAAGTGTTGTGTTCTTATTCTTTTGGAGCCCCCATTATCATTAGGAAGAAATGGTTATGGGGACTGCTTAGGGTGCCCTCTGCTTCATTATTTCATCTCTTTATCAGAGTTGGAGAAAACGTAAGTAAAGGCAGGTTTCTGGGTAGCTGTGTAGGTGTTTGTAACAGGAGACTAGACTAGTAAATCAAATAGTAGAGGAATAAAAATGCAACAACCTAGAAGATTTGTTATTTCTTCCCATCCTAGTATAAATGTATCTTCCTAATAATAGAGAAAACCAGATACTTCTGTTGAAGCATTCAGTTTGTTTTATGGCATATTTTTTCCCAAGCTGGTCATCCTGCTTTCCACTTTCTAGAAAATCAACGTAAACACTCTTCATGTAGAAATAATGTGCCCCTTTTATTATGACAAGTATAATGATGTTGGGAATTTTTTAAATTATAACCTCTGTTCCAACGTAGAAACTGCAAACTTACATGTTTATTGTATAGAATTCAACTTAAAAACTATGCTCAGAAACATGGATGCTCAGCTCTCTTCTGTCTATGTAGCTGTAATTAGCTCTTCATCTTCTTGTCACGTTATTCTTAACCTACTAACAACTTCTTTAACGGAAAATGTATTGAAGTTACTCAAGAGTGAAAGAAAGGACATGGCTACTGATAGTCCAAAATGTTGGTAACAGTTATCACTTTCCAGTAAGTTATTATATTTACTCCTGACCATTTTCCTCTGAGAAAACAGAGGGTCAGGGTTTTCGTGGTCTCACATGCACTACTTATAGATAAGAATCCAGATATTTCCGTTATGAATCCTCCTAAATCTTTTCTTTTATACCAGAGATTTTCAAATTGTATACCCATTTGCAAAGGTGCCTCGAAAGCCCTATGACCTGTTGAGGAGTAGAATGGGACTGAATCACAGACAAGGTTCTGTAACCCTTCCTCAAGGAGCTTTGCTTTTCTGTTACACATTTTCCGTTTTTTTTGTTTGTTTGTTTTGTTTATTTTTTTAATCAAGCGTTTTAAAAAGACTTATTTCTTACTATACATTTTATTGCAGACCCTTCTAAAATATGCAGTCATAGAAGAATAAATGCTATAAAGATTCATTTTTCTTTTTACTGATTGATACTTGTTTATACTTAACCTGAATAATGCATGCTACTTAACCTGAATAATGCATGCTACTTAACCTGAATAATGCATGCTACATAACCTAGTCCCCTGTTAGGAAGTGCATCACAGTCATCACTGGAGCATTCCTGGGTTTGTCATTTTCTTTGTAGCAGCTGCACAGGAACAGTATTCAGTTTACTGATGGATATGAAGTAAAAGAAGATATTGGAGTTGGCTCCTACTCTGTTTGTAAGAGATGTGTACATAAAGCCACAAACATGGAGTTTGCAGTGAAGGTAAATATTTTTAGTAGTTTAGTAGTTCTAACCATCCTTCTTCATCCCATCAGTACCATTTCAACATTACATTCCTCCTCTTTGGTAAATGTGCTTTTTGTTATAAAAAGTTAAGGTAAATACTTGGCTAGTTGTTTTCCAGGATCCTGATCTGGAGACCTTGGTTCCCCTGTGGGCTAAAGTGAAGGCCATACATCCACGTTGCCCAGGGCAATGCCACCTTACCCCTGACTAAAATTTTTAATGCATCCCCTTTCTCCTCAAAAGAGTCTCCCATAACATGGTTAGAGAATTCCTCAAAATTGCATGCAATTTTTTTAATTTTCATTTTCCTGCTAAAAATGTTCATACACTTCTTCACATTTAAAAAGAATTGTGACCCAAGAACAGCATAACAACCACCGTCATAAAGCCTATTACCCTTAACCATTTTAATTTCAGCAGGTGTCTTAAGGCAGTAAGAATTTTCTAAGCCAAGAAACCAAGGCACATACCTCTATGATAAAGTTTAAGTCTCAAACGTTTAGCTGTATGTGAACAAATACTATATTCAAGTCTGTGCTTTTTCATTTCTTGGGTTAGCAGGCTCTGGTGTCCCATCTCAAGCAATTTAAGTAATATCTAAAGCTTTTGACTTATCTTGAACTGGAGATCTGCTTTATAAGTATGGGTAGCACATGTTTAGTTTGTGGGAGAATGGCATGAATGTTACTACAAATCTTGTCCTGAATATTATTGCTCAAAAAGTCAAAAATTTCCATAAGCCTTTCTGTTGGATATAAGGAGATATGAACCATAGAAATGCACTTTAATGTTGTATTTTTGTCAATGCTCTTACTGAAATTTGAAATATGTAGAAATTTTCAGATTGTTTGCATGAGAAGAGAGAAAAGATACCATGTTCTTGGATAGGCAGTTTAAAGATGGATCTTGCTTCCTTTAAGACATAAAAATTAGAAATGTCCTCAAGTCCCCTTTGAATTACAGAAACCAGGTGCCTTTTGCCCACAACCTTGAGAACATCTTCCAACTGTTGTGGATCTTTATGACTTGAAATAGATGCACAAAAGCAATCCCAACACTACTGGATTCTACTGAAATGACTATAGATCTGTGTTCCAGCAGTCTAAGTATAGATCACAGCAAACATTGCTACAAATAGCACCTCCAGTGTGTTCTGGTTTTCAAAAGACTAGCTCCGGACCATCTCTCTAAAATTAGCCTGTCCATTCCGTATACCTCTCCTTTGCATTACAGTGGATGCCTATGTGTGTCTTCCCTGTTCTCCAAAAATAGCACCTCTATATCACAAAGAAGACTGAGCTCATAATTTGAAGTGCAAAGTCTTTTCCAAGTTGCTAGAATGTTTGGGTATTTATTGCATATATTAATTACTAAGCTATTTTAACATTGAAAATATGAAAGCCACAAAATTTGTTTCTGAAACTATTTGGATAAAAATAAAAATTTGGGTTGTCTTTTTTAAATATAATACTACTTTAACACATTAATACATAAAGAGAAGTATTTTTTTTAAGAAGCATCTGAGATTAAAAGGGTTGGAGAGAAGTACATTAGTATTGTAAAGGGCTTTATTATAATGTTGTTATTGTTGTTAAGTGCTTTCGAGTTGGACCCGACTCATAGTGACCCTTCAGGCGATATCACTACCCAACCTTCCTTCCAAGGAGTGGCTGGTGGATTTGAACCGCCAGCCTTCTGGTTAACAGTCAAGTGCCTTAGGTAGTACACTACCAGAGGTCCTTTTATTATAATAATTAAACTTAATTCCAGCCAAGTAAAATTGTAGGTGTGGTTTTCTGCATAGCTTTCTGAAGTAACTTCAAAAATATGCTTGTTCTATTTAACTATTAATTAATTTTTATAAGTAGCTTACAACTAAAGGGATATTCCATTGAAGCATTTTATTAAATGAAGTTAATTCAATAAACAGATGCTACTGATGGTGTTGTTATAGGTACATCTAACTCTTAATTATCTGTATTGCATTAGAAGATGACTGACTTCCTAAATGTTTAAGACATTCAAGGATGGAGGACACATATGTTAACTGTGTTCTTGGTACATTTTCCTTAGGCTTTTTAGCACTTGGAAAGTCGTAAATGTAGTTCAAATTTAAATTAGACTTGTTAGGAATATGTCTCATGGATAGAATTTATGTTATAGCTTTGTCAGTTAGGCTTTCCAGTTTTCATTAAACAGTCTCACCAGGTACTAGAATAAAACTGGTTGGTAAATGTCTTTTGTGTACAGTATTTATATAATACCTTAGGTCTACCACTGTAAATACTTAATGTTTATAACTATACAGTGCATGAGATTTTTTATAAATGTTTACCTTTTAGATTATTGATAAAAGCAAGAGAGACCCAACAGAAGAGATTGAAATCCTTCTTCGTTATGGACAGCATCCAAACATTATTACTCTAAAGGATGTGAGTAGAGCTTCTAATGCAGAGCATTTGCATCAGTTGTCAAACTCACATTTGGAATGTTTTCAAATATTTTATTGACAAAGGACTTGATATCATGTATTTAAAAAGTAGATTTCAGAACTCTGTGTTGTAGTTAGGTGCCATCGAGTCAGCTCCAATTCATAGCGACCCTGTGTACAACAGAACAAAACAATGCCCAGTTCTACACCAGCCTCAGAACTGTATAATATAATTCACTTTATAGAGACAAGTATGTTTATATAGTTAATTTTTCTATTCTTCAAGAAGAAAAGCATTACTGTCATTAGTACTTTTAATATCTGTATTTACTTGAACATTTGGGAATTAATTAATAGGATTCCCTGTCTCAGTAATGGATTCCCTACTCTGCCTTCCATCATACTACCAGAGAGATCTAACACTGTCATCTAACCCTGTTACTTCCCTGCTTATAATTTATATTCCCATAACCTCCTCTCCCTACTTCCTCAGAAGCGCTGTGCTCTAGCCATGCTCTAATACGTACTTATTGCTATTCACTTTATAGGTCTGTCTATTGTT